ACTGTGCTACATTAAATTGATTTTGCAAATGAAAGCTAAAAGCTAAGCAAAAGCCACCAATCTATTTTTCCTAAAGATGATTTTAGTGCTCTTTATGTTCCCCTAAATGACAAACCAATTTGTTACCTGCCTACATAAACATTTGCCTATATTAGCCCCAGAAATGTTTTATTTTTATTAGCCCAAACTTTATCTTTTTATGAAGACACAGGGGCCCAATAAAATTAGTGTGCAAATATAATACCCAATTTGCATTTTTCCATGGTCAGCAGAAAAGCTGAGTAAAATCAATTTGATATTAGGTCAGCATATACATCAATAAAGCATACGCTCACACAGGACCATTGTAATGGTTCCTGTAATTTCTATGCTGCCAGAGTAAAGAGATTAAATAATATTAAATGCTCCAAAATAGCTTCTCTTTTAAGAGGAATGTAAAAAGAAAGGGAGACTTTGGCATAAAACGAGCAATAAAGCATAATAGTTGCCCAATCTCCAACTTTAAAACATTGTGACAATGATCACAGAGGCAGGCTTCCTGCAAAATGGCCCCAATTCAGCAGAGCTCTCATGCCAAAATTATGGTTAAGCACATTTTTGAGCACGATGCAAGTCCGTCCAACAAATCATGTACTTAAGCACCTGACAGAGTCAAGGACAGAGCCTGAATGAACACCCAAAACTCGGAAGGTTTTGGAGGCAGCTTTGAGCATTACATGCAGGACCATTGCTGAGGAGATGGTTCTTGCACAAAGGAGACTTCTGAAAAAACCCCAGGCAGGACAGAGTGAAGGTGAGGGCAGTCCACGAGCTGTGAGGGTGCCCTGTAGCAGGGCCACCCCATCACAGAGCTGGCCTACCATGGCTTTTGCATGGGAGACAAAATTCTGCTGCCTCCCATTTCGGGTAAAACTGTACAGGAATGGGTGTCTGACTTCCAGAACCTGTATCCCAATCTTTGCTCATCACTCTGTGGTACAAATGGCATCATTTTGACCTTCTGTCCCTCTTAGTTTCTTTGTTCTGCTGAAGCCAACTATAAGAAGGTGAGAAAGAAAATCTGACCTCACCAAGTCCAGTGGGATTCAGCAGGGACCAAAAATGCTGTTCCTGCGCACTCCTGCATTGCTGAGATGCACGCTCTTACCTGAAATGACATTCGTGGCCAGAAGGAGCAAAAATAAATGGGATTAGGTGCTGATCTGGTCTCTTAGGAAAAACCAGAGCGCAGTAAATGCTGCTTGGATTTGATTTGCTGGAGCAGGTTAATGTGGTGGAGATGAGGCACTTGGGGCAGTGCTGTTTTCGACACAGATGTTCCAGCTCTGCTGGGCACAGGCAAGCTGGGGTGGCACACAGGAATGGAATGCAATACAGCTGCTTTGATTTCCTCTGTGGAGTATTTAACTCACAGGGTTTTGAATAAAAACAAGCTGGCAGCACCCCACCTCGTAGTGCAAAGTACCTGGGACAGGATGGCAATATGGAATTCATTTGCAGGGGATAACATTCCATTAAAATATACGTGGGTATTTAAATCAAATTGTTATTTGGCCATATGTTTGTAGGATGATGGATTCCCATGGATTAGAGCCTTCTGGTCTTCCAGAGATGACGAGATTTTTCTGGTACCTTTCTCAACTTTGAAGTCGTCTGCAAAGTAGTGAAATTCACTCCCAAGATCTCCTGACAGGCACCAGCCCAAAGACTTTCTGAACCAGACTTCCAGGGTCAGACCTCTCATCCTTAGTGCTAATTTGTGAACTTGAATCATAAACTACATAATGACTGCAAGACCTAAAGCAACCACAAATCTGCAGTCTGATTCTGGTCTGACAAAGCAGCAGAAAAGATCCTGGATGTTGAGGAGTGATGTTCTACCTCAGTTCTGTTATAGTGCTTCATCTTGGTGGTGCAAATGGAATTCCATAAATTTAATATTTCTGCTTGAATGTTCTAGATACCTACCATTGAGCTGCTATATACAAATACTATAATTTTCATGTTTTTATAGTAGCATAAAGATGAAAATTGAATGAAAATGGCTAAGTGAATTTCTTGCCTTGCCGTGAAGGTTTAGAATTCGATCTGACTCTCTCTCTGTAAGTAGAAAATGTTTTCTGTGCGAGCCTGCTTTATCTGCAGCAGCACAATAAGCAACCAGGAGTGGAAATTGCTGTTTCCTGGGTGAGAGCTGAGGGAGTGTTGCCAGTGGGGTTAAGTGACTGGCTTGACATGCCAAAGCTTTAGAGGGGAAGGAACATGGGTTGAGGGCCAAGCAGCACAAGTGATGCTCAGAATGAGAGGTCTGAGCTTCTTGCTTGCAGCTCATTGAGTTTCTTTTCAGTATGAAATTTGCTCCGTGTTTAGCACTACTGTGGTTGCTGGGGAGCCAGGAAAGATGTTGAAGTTTGTGCTGATTGTTCTGAATAGCATCTCAGATCTCCACAGCTTTGCTCTGGGGAATTCTCCTCTGAGCAGGGGCAGGATGGCAGTGGGTGAGCAGCAGGACACTGGGGTGTAACACACAGTGACAGATTGTTTAGGTCTCTCATAAATCAAGGCAAGTATTATCCATGATGATGATAGTGGTAGACTTCAAAGGGAAGACAAAATGTTCATTTAAATCTTCAAGATACTCTCCAGAACAGAAAATGGAAAAGGAACCATTCCAGACATCTCTACTTTCCCTTCTTTCAAAAAAACCTGTTTCCTCAAAGATTTTTGTTTCTAAGACTCACTGCTATGGTCTTCAGAAGGGTAAAAGTGGTACCACAACACATTTCTCTGCATTTCCACAAGTCTCAAAGCTGTGGCTAAATGGAGTGTGCCTTTCTGTCATTTTGCTTAAGCACTGTTGGCATCTACTAAGCAAAGCTATACACTTCTAATCTTCTTAATTTTGATTGATCTTTTCAATCCTGAAGTAGAAAATAGGATGTATTTCTAATGTAACATTTAAATTAAAAAATGAAATGGTGTTTTGTGGTTGTTTAGTGGGTTAACCTTGGTTAGCAGCCAGATGCCCATCCCTCTTATCCAGGACAGGGGGAGAAAATAAAAAGGAAAGGCTCATGGGTCAAGAGGAAGACAAGGATATAATTTACCTATTGCCATTGGGGCAAAGGAGACTTGACTTGTGGGGATTTTAATTCATTGCCAATTAAAATAGACTTGCATAGTGAAAGTTATTGATCATAATAATGATTCTGGTAAGTGTTATGAAGCATAAATAACAACAGTTTTATAATTGAAAACAAAGCCAAAGCCACAAAACACCCCAAAGCAATCCTCTGTCCAAGAGATTCCTGACCAGTGCTGTTCCAGACCCAAAGCAGCCATGGTGCTGAGCATCACCTCTGTGCTGTGCCACAGCCCCTTTAATGCAATGCTGGTTTTCCAAGAGGGGAGGAAAACTCATCTGCTCTTGCTAAAGTGATCCCAACACTTCTCCTTTTGTTCCTTAAAATTGGTTTGGTGATTTATCTCCTTCCTCCCACACTACTTAACGCAGATGATGTGGGATGGTCGTTGACTCCTGGCTGATGTGGTTGTGCTCCTTTTTGCTGCCTCCCACTTTTCTTCTGCTGAGAGAATTGACCCCACCAGCTGCAGGGTTTGGCAGAGACTTTCTTTCTTGTATTTCTTTGCCTCTGGGGTTCAAAAACATCAGGGAATGGTGAAGCTGGTGTAAGAGAGAACAAATGGATGGCTGAGTTATAGGGAGAGCAGCTGCAGGACTTTGAGATGCTGAGGAAATGAAAGAAGAAACCTGCTGCAATTGTCTCCTGAGAACAGCAAAAAATGTATTGATTATTCCCATGGTTCTGTAAGGTGTGATTTGCCCTGGGGAAAATGGAGCACTTCTAAGAATTTGGGAAATGAAAAAAAAAATTAACTAAGGTATGGTTTTGAGGACTCACACATCTTTGAAAATAAAAGTCCGACTTTGGATATGTGTGCAATAAATCTACCTAATTAAAAGAGGAAGAAAAAAAAAACCGAAACAAAAAAACAACAACTTGGATTTAGTTTCCAGTCTGTAAGCTTTTTACTTCAAAACAAAGATTTAAACTGTCTCCAGCAATTGGAGCCTGCTGTGTTTAGCATTACCCCTGCTGTGTGTGTTCAGGTTGAGATAAGCCATCTAACTGAGGTCCTGACCTCTTAGAGTCTTTAAAATTCCCAGAACCCATTTTGCAAGAGCATAATTTTCATTTGCTGTTTATTAAGTGCAGTCACAGCACAAACAAAGGAAGGATCCTGGTTGACCCACGTAGTTTATGGCTGAAGCAGGTGGCCAAAGTGGTGTGGCTTCAAAACTGAGGGATTAACACATGTTAAAGTCAGCATAGTTGGGATCTGTCTTCCACCTATCTGCAATTTGAAGGGGAAATGGCACATTTTCATGCCCTCACTGGAGAAAGTTCCTGGATTTAATCTTGATCTCTTTTCTATAGTTTTTTTTAAACTTTTCTTTCAGACAGAGCAGATGCAGTCACAAACACTTAACAGATTTTAAAAAAATCACCCCTAAATCCTTCAGAGCAAAGCCTAATAAATATAATTTGTAGCACTTTGCCATAGCCTGGCACTGTTAAGGCATGGACCAAGCGCAATGCAGGGTGCAATTGGCTTTACCTTGACTGGAGCCCCAGTGCTGTTCCTGTGGCCCAGGGGGACATTTATCACGAGTGAGAGCACAATTACAGTGCAGTTAAACTCTCTGCACTAAATCTTGGGCTTTAAAAAGAGACCTAAATTTGTTGTTGCAGGTTTGGCTGCATGTCATTATTCTTGCAGCCCTTGTGCAGTCTGGGAAGGAGACCTGGTGACTCTGCCTCTTTGGTCAAGGATTGTGCTTGTTTATAATGTGTGACCAATTCTGATGAAAGGATGTGTTTTAAAAATTAACAGTTGTTTGCTTTTACATCTGGGGCACAGTTTAATAATCTTAATTTCTCTTTTTTTGTCCCCTCTCTGTCCCCTTTCTGCTGCAGCAAACCTGTGTCCAGGGGCTGAACAGAAGGTGGTGTTCATCACAGCACGGGTCCATCCTGGGGAAACTCCCTCTTCCTTCGTCTGCCAAGGTGAGTGTGTGCCCCAGGGTGGCAGATCTGATGGGATCTGATCTGCTGCTGGTGCATGAGCTTGGTGGGGAGAGCTTTGGCTCTGAAAGGGGAAAGCGACACATTTTTCCACGGTGGAAATCAGCATATCAGGACATCAGCAGAATCTCTCATCTAATACACAGCTGCTCATCTTCCTTGAGGCTGTAGGAATAGCTTGGCTCCAAGTCCTGTGAAGGTTTGCTGAACTTGGTCAGAATTGGACAGATTTGGGCTCTGAAGCTGTTTGGGAAGAACGAGACAGTCACACTCGTATGCAATATATTTGTGTAAAGGTCCTTTTCTTATGGCTTTTTCAGCCCATTTTGCTGGGGTTTATTATGTTAACTGCTTATATTTTTTCTTGCTGTGTACCATCCCCAGCTTCTTTTCCATCACAAAGCAGTGACCCTAGCTCTCCAGTTGAATTCTAAGAGGCCTCTCTTTGTCTGAAGCTGCTGCTCTGAGGAACACAGCTCCCAGTGGCTGACAGCTGTTTCCTGCAAAAAGCATTCCTGCTAAAAATAGAAAGCAAATTGCCCAGCTTGTATTTATAAAGAGTTGTAAATCTCTTGGCTCGTGGGTACAAATAAATAAATAACCCCGGCACGCCTTCATATAACTTCATTGTACAGGCCTGAAATATTGTACTTATGCATGTGACCGTGTGCAGCAGTGAAGTGTTGATGGTGTAAATCAAAGCAGCTCCCCTGGAGCCAGGGCAATTTGGTAATTCACTGCAGCAGCTTGGACCTGGCCCTGCTGAGCCCATGAGCTGCATCAATCAAGCATATGCAGAGTTTATTATTATGTTGTCTGCTCGTGGTGCCACAGGCTCCATTGCCATGGGCCCTGCTGGTGCCCAAAGACCTCGGTGGGGAGGGTCTGGCACTCGTTCATGGTCTTCTCTGTGTGCTCCAAATCCTGGCAAGGGGCTGTGTTTGGCATCATTGAGGGAAAAGGTGCTGAGCAGCTGCCCCCTCTGCTGCCCCAGGACACTCTCCTTGCTGGCCTGGAGCAGCAAAGGTAAAGCCCTTCCTCTAATAAAACAATGCTTCAGACTGAGAGCGGGGAAACTCAGCGAGTTCCCCATCCCCTGCCGTGCCACAGTCAATGCAGGGCATTACAGTACACATGATGTTTGTTAATGAATATGGATTTTTAATTGGCTGCTTTGATTCTGTTTGTGGCTGCTGGCATAGCCCTGTGAAATGAAAGCTGAGGCATGCTGCTGAGGTGGTGCTTTGTAAATGATGTTATTTTATTTTGATAATGGAGAGTTTATTCAAAAGGGAAATAATCAGAAAAAAAAAAAAAGGATGTGTAAAAGCGTGTGGCATGCTTAGCCTGATGAAACAGCTAGATAGAAGTCATGCTCTGATTGTCTCATGGAAACTTTGTGCTTTGCAAGAAAAAAAGCCAAAAACAAACAAAGAAAACACAAACAAATTAAAAAAAAAAAAAAGAAAAAGCAGGAAATACAAGAAAAATAACAAGGCGGTATCAATACATGAGTTTTGGAGAAGCACGTGAGGAACTTGCTGTGGCTGAATTTTAGCTCCTGATTGACTCCTGGACCCAGAGGCTCTGGGCTCCGCACGGAGCCCCTGCCTCATGCAGGCAGAGCTGCCTCCTGTGCAGAATCAGCATCTACACAAGGGGAAATGTCAAACATTTCAAGGCCATTGCAGAGTTGTTTCTAGCACTGCCAAATGTGAAACTGGGTGCTTGCTCCATCTTTGGAAACTTATGTGTGGGAGGATCAAAAGAAGGCATAAAAAAGATTCCTCTGGCAGTCAAGTTGAGGGCACACTTAGGAATTTTATTTCTGGAGTCTCAGGAAGGTTTTTGGCATAGTTAGGTGTTGCAGATTTTATATCCAGATGCCAGCTCAGTGCATATGGAACATGTCAGGACTATTTTTTTTCTTGGTGGAGAGATTTCTTCCTGAATGTTTGATGATGCTCACCACCTGGAGCATTAAGATCTGGAAACTGATCCCAAATATTCCCCAGGAGCATCTCATGGATGGAAGACCAGAACTGTGACTGCCCAAGCTTGGACAATCAGTCCACAGGGGAATAGAGAATGAGCAAAAAGCTTTATATTTTTTGTTTTTCACTTTTTCCCATTGATTTTTGGTTTTAATTAGTTCAGTCACTGTTTTCTTTAATGTCTGAAGATAACATCTGACTCCTTACTCACTTTTCTACCTCTCTTTGAGCTGGCCAGCTCCTTTCCTGCCCTCTTTGGGCTGGTTTTTGCTGAGGGATTTTTAGCTGTATACTCAAAATAGGAGTTTCCTGGGGACTGGCAGAAGCTACCTATTACAGGCATCCCAGCCTAACCCCATTTCTTTGGGTTTTTAGTTTTTTGGGGTTTTGGTTTTGTTGTTTTGTTTTTTGGTTGTTTTTTTGTTTGTTTTTTTTTTTTTGTGGTTTTTTTTGTTTGTTTGTTTGGTTTTGGTTTTGTGGTTTTTGGGGGTTTTTTGTGTGTGTATTTGGTTTTTGGGTTTTTTGGTTTGTTTTTTGTTTGTTTGGGTTTTTTTGGTTTTGACTAGTCAAGGCCCCTGAGAAGCAAGTTTTCTATCTTTAATACATCATGAGATGCAGGCGCCTTTTGATCCCTTGTCCTCCACTTTAACCACATATTATGAATCTAAGCAAGGATTTTGCATTCCTGTGGGATTAAAAAATCTTGTCATCTCTCTGTTCAAAATTGTTTCTCTGTCATTCTTCTTCATATTCTACTATGAAGAATCCACTGAAAACTGAGTTTTGGATCAAATGCCCTTCATTGCTGCAAATGTGCAGGTATTTTAAATTTGGTTAGGCATTTCTGTCACCTTCCAGCTGTGGAGTGCTTGCAGCAGTGGCCAGACCTCCTCAGAACCATCAGGCACCTCATCCAGCAGTCACAAACAAGTGCTGTAATATTTCACACATGCTGCAGCTGCCACAAAACCCTGGAGGGCCTCTTCATAAAAAGATGGATTAAGAACCTTTTGTTTCTGTTTTGGTCTTTGAAGAGTTAGTACTATGGTTCTCCTTTTTAGGAAGTTTTCCTGGTGGTTCTTAACTGCTTGTGGTGGAGCTCAGGGCTGGAAATGGAGACCCAGCCATCAGAGAGGATATTCAGAATATTCACATGAGTACCTTTCAATCCAAAGGTAGGGTGGTATTCTCCTGCTCAGATGGTGATGGTCACCATGAGCATTGATGTTTGCACCACTCCTAGGGATGAATAAGTAGGAGTAGGGTCCAGGATTAAGAGGATTTGTTTTCAATTTGCTATTATAGACCATTTTTTAACCAACTGCTGGAATCACTGCTGCTCCTGGAGGGCGTTTGTAGTGAGCACAAAGAAGTGCAAATTCATCTTACAGCCTGAACTCGTCTCTCCTCGGCTGTTCAGATTTCTGAGGGATTGTTCTGAAGTTGTGGATTTAGATTATTTTCCTTTCTTAGATTTTTTCCTCAGTATTTTCCTTTAAGAAAACGTGGGCTGTTTTCTCTTCCATAGTTTACTGTAAAGGCAAATAAACTAACTCTTAGATGTCAGGTAACAGTGTGCGCTAATAATCTGTGCAAGCCCCTACCCTCAAAACACTGACCATAAGGCAGCTTTCAAAAGGATTGGATTTTCTCCAAGACTTGGCAATAGGGGTATTTTTAGCCCCCAATATTCTCAGTGTCTTATTTTCTTTCTTATATTTGCTAGGTTTTGTATTCTTTGTGGGAGAAAAGCAACTGCCCCTCACTATTCACATCCACAGAAAGTTGTAGGAGACACTCCTACATTTAAGTTTATCCTGTATGCTCTGACTTTTGCCAGCAGTCAGTAATTCCAAGGTTAAACATGTCTAGATGCACCAAGACATTAATTTTACCCACTGATTTAGCATGTTCTATTAGTGGGATGCCAATCGTTGATTTCCCACTGTGGCATCCATCTTGCCATCTAAATGCAGAAATGAAAATTTGTACCCCAAGCCTCTAATAGGGATTTCCAGGCTGGGATGCCAGAATGGGAGCCCAGTGCAATGCAGGAGGGAGAGGAATCCCACAGCTGGGTTTGAAGTTGCTGAGCATCTCAGGGTCAGTATAATTTAACCTGGAGCTGACCTTGAATCTTATGGGCTGAAAAGGGAACAGCCATTAAAGAGAAAATATAAGAAAAACAGACACCTGTGACTCTTTTCCATAAGAAACAGAGAAAAAATTACTTTTCAATCAATCTTTTTTTTTTCTTTATAGCTGCTTAAATGAATGCTCTCCCTTGCTTCACCTTAAATCAGATTATATGAAATGGAAGAACAGATTGCACAGGGCAACATCTCTTGATTTTCTGTTTGCATCCTTTGTCTGTGTTTTTAACCCTCACCCTCTCGCCAGCAGAGGGCAGGGAAAAAAAAATCTGAAAACTTGTACAAATTTTGATTCTGAGTTTGAAGCATGGAATAGCACGGAACAGAGTGCCTGAAAACAAGTCTCTCAGCATCTGTCTCTCCAGTCCTGATGTTGCACTATAACTCACTGGGCTGGTGGGTAATTGAACTTGCTCTCTGTGTCACCAGGATGCTCCAGGTGCTAGGAAGGATTTAACTCCTGGACAGATTCCAAAGTGGCCTCTTAAAACTGTTTTCTAGTTCATTTTGTGGAGGCAGTGCCTTCAAATCCTTTGAATTTGATCCTGCAGGAAACCTGAGGGAGTTGGTAGGAGAGTGAAGTTGTTAAAATACAACAAATGTGACTTGGGTGGGGTTTTTTTGTTGTGTTATGGGGTTTGTTTTGTTTTATTTGTTTGGAATTTGTGTTTTATATTTCTTGTGGGAAGCAGTCATAAGCATGAGAAGGATCCTTGTGAAGCCAGTTTCTTCTGCTTGGAATTTTACCCAAACTCTGTCTTTTCTTATGGAGAAAGAAGAGGAATATCCTGTCAGGGTTAAAAGCTGCTTTTCTGTTTCTTTTATTAAGCATAAA